CCCTTACCAACCCTCTGGCTCCCAAAACTGCCACCGTCAGGGAGACACAGGTGAGCCGAGGGCAGAGGCCAGTGAGAGTGGGCCAGAAGAGCCTCTGCTCGTGACGGACCAAGGACAGATGTTAGGAAGTCTCTGGGTGCAAGTGTTGTTGAGCCTGGAAACGGTGGCATTTGGTGTGCTTAGGTGCTGCCATTCCGATGCTTCTGGGTCCCCCGTTCAGAAGCCCAGGTGGTCTGGGGGTGGGGGCTTGGGGAAGGAGGCACTCCGTCTTGCTTCTCTTCTGTTTTATCCGACGGCCCTTTCCTCCCGCAGACCATGTACAAGGCGAGCCAGGAGAGTGAATGCTACGTGATCGACGCCGAAGTCCTCACCCACGACGTGCCCTACCACGACTACTTCTACACCATCAACCGCTACACACTCACCCGCGTGGCCCGGAACAAGAGTCGACTCAGGTGCCATGTCTGCTGGCCCGAGCGGGCTCAGAGCGAGTTCCCGGTGCCCCTGGGGGTCCTTAGTTAGAGAACGGGGACTTGCTCCCAGGAAGGAGCGGGGAGGTGGGCTGTATTGGCTGCTGACTCATTCTTCACTCCACCCTCTTTCTGAAGCTCTGAGACCCCCCTCCTCCTCCCCATCCTGACAGTTCATTCTTCTCTCCATCTTGTGCTCTCTTTACCCCTCTGTGTGTCTTTCTGGTAAGAGTTTTATAACCACTGCTATTTACTGATTGTCCACGGTTTATAAAGTACTGTGCAGGTACTTCACCTACACAAACTGGATCCTTTAGAATAACCCAAGGAGGTGGATTTATCCTCATTTTTCAGATAAGAAAACTGAGGGTCATACAGTCAAGTACCTTTGACAGGGGTCGGGAGTGCTGAAACCCAGGTCTTAGAAACGCAAGCCTGTCCTGTTTCTGCCATGCCCTGTGTATTGCAAGTTCCTGCCCGTCTCCTGGCTCCCCCGGGGAGGAGCCCCACTCCACTCCCCACTTCATCCCCAGCACTCGGCACCGAGCCTGCGCACATAGAGTCAGATGGTGCTGATTGAATGAGTAATTAGTTGCTGTTTGGGGAAAAAGTCCTGCCCTGGGCACTGTGATGTACATTCAAGGGAGGAAGGACCCTGACATTTTAAGAAGCTTGTGGTCTGATTGAAAAGCCAAGACACACACCCATTTGAAAACAATCGGATCGTGTGCCAGTATCCTAGACCAAGTTCTTCTGGTTGTACAGAGCAGAAATTCTCTCATGTTGTTCAAACAAAATAGGAGTTTAGTGGAAGGCTACAGACAGATCTCTGGGGACTCAGGAAGAGCTGAATTCCCACACCTCGAAAAGGGCCTGAATCTTTCTCATCTGCTTCTTTTAAAAATGTTTTCTTGGTTTCTCTGCTGCTCTCTGAGCAACTGCCCCCGCCCCCGGTCTCTTCCTCCTCCCCTCCCTCCCCTCCCTTCTCTCCTCTCCCTTCTGCCCCCCATCCTTCCCCCACAGCGTCTGTGTTTCTCACTTCCAGCTTCTTTGGAGGGCCTTCTGATTGGATGTCCTTTCTGTCCAGCTCACTCAGAGGTAGCTGGTTGACCCCAGATGAACCTTTACAGGGAGGTGTCCACCCTCGACCCGGGAAACAGTTGTTTGGCAGTGGATGGGGTGGCTGTTGGCACGGGCACACGCACATCAGGCCATGGCTGGAGGTGGTGTCCCCCAGCAGGAGGGGGTGAGAGCAGAGAAGACAGCCTTAAACCTAGTGTGTGCCCCTAGTGACCAATGAAAGCCAACGTCAGGAGAGGCAGGAGCAGATCCGGCAGGAGATGGGGCAGCAGAGAGACTCACCACCGGAGAGAGTACTGGGGACGGAGCAGGAGCGGCAGGTCCTGGGGAGAGTGGAAAGGCAGGAGCCAGGCCAGTAGCTAATGAAGCTCTTAAAGGTGGACTCTGTGGAGCCCCAGAGGAGGAGAGAAGGGCCCCGTGGCCACAGGCTGCCCACACCATCTGGAGCCCTCACTGGAGGAGGCCACTTGGCATCGCTCAAGAACTCTGGGCTTGGAGTCTGAGCTCTTCTTGTTAGTCTTTGGTCTGCTTACAAATTCAAAAACTCAGTTTTCTCATCTATAAAATGAGGGTAAATCCACTAGCTTCACTGACCTCACAGGATGGCCGGGGAGATCAGATGGCATCGTGGATGTGAAAGGGCTTTTGAACTCGTTAAGGGGAGCACGTATATGAGCTGCTTTGGCCTTAAACTTGAAGTTCCCTTTTGCCAGCAGAGGAAGGTCTGCCCAGGAAACGGCTGATCTTGTTTCCGGCTTGTTCCTCAGGGTCTCCACAGAGCTGCGCTATCGGAAACAGCCCTGGGGGCTGGTGAAAACGTTCATCGAGAAGAACTTCTGGAGCGGGCTGGAGGACTACTTCCGCCACCTGGGTGAGCGCTCAGTCACCGCCGCTGGGTGAATGGTTCCGCTGTCACTGGTCAGGGGAGGGGGAGGCCTGGGGCAGGCGGGAGAGGTGGGGGCAGTGAAGGGGTTTAATGGGCCCTTGAGTCTGTCCTAGAAATGGATGCAAAGTTCAGAGCGGATGTGAACATGTGCATTTTCAAGAGACTCTGACTATAACTTTCATGAGATCATTATCTTGCGGGAATCCATGGCCCCAGAAATGAGCCTGAGAGCCAGTCACACTGGTGGTAGTTCTGTTACGAGGAGGCAGAAGTCTGTGAAGGCATCCACTGGGAAATGGATGTGCCCCAAGTATGCATACGTGAGCCTCTGTCTGTATACACTGTTGAACAGCCCGGAAGAGGGCTTTGGGCTGGGCTGGGTCCCAGGAGTATTTCCCGGGGCTCCTGGGCATCCCTGAGGGAACCCCGCCCTCCCAGGCATACCTTGGAGTACAGCATGGGAAAACGGTCCCCTTAGGGAGGGTGCGGCTCGGAGGAGATGGAGTTGCTTCTGGAGGTCAGTGTATTGGGTCGGAGGTATGGGCAGATGGCCCCTGATGTGGCCTTTTGACCCCGGCAGAGAGTGAGCTGACCAAAACGGAGAGCACCTACCTGGCTGAGATGCACAGACAGTCTCCCAAGGAGAAGGCCAGCAAGCCCCCGACGGTGCGGAGGAGGAAGCGCCCCCACGCCCACCTGCGGGTGCCTCACCTGGAGGAGGTGATGAGCCCGGTCACCACGCCCACTGATGAAGACGTGGGCCACAGGATCAAACACGTGGCAGGTGTGTGCCCGGTGGGGACGGGGGGCATGGCTCAGGGCTTCGCGGGGAGCTGCGGGCCTTGCCGAGGCACACACGTGTGCGCTCATTTTGCAGCCAAGGGTAGACCGTGTATTCAGTGAGGCTCGTGATGCATTGAATCTGAGCTCTGGATGAGCTGTTGTTTCCCATGCCCTTAAGCTCCCCAGCCCCTGCCGAACCCCTCTGTGCGCTCTGCTGAGCGCAAGTTGCCTTTGGGTTTGTGCCCCCGTGTTGCCCAAGCTGGTGGCCCCTGTATAGGCTCAGGCATGCCACCTCCAAGTTCCTGGGAAATGCCCCAGGGGAAGGCCGAAGCTCAGACCCTGGGGATGACCCCGTAACACAAAGGACAGGGAGTCCGAGGAGGCCAGGCAGCGGGTCCCTCGCTGAGTCTCCCTCTTCCCATCCAGCCGCTCACACCCTCATTCTTTGCTCAAGCGTGGAAACTTGCAGCAAGAGCCCAGCTAATCCAGGGTTTTTCAGACTGTGCTCTGCACCTCCCCTGGCATTCATCAGTGCTGGGTGGGGCAGGAGAGGAGGCAGAAGAGAAAAGAGGTGCCAGCCTTTCTCAACCTTCCCCGGCTTCAGCCAGAGCAGAGCACTGCTGTGTTATTTATGTGTTTTACATACGGGACTCCTGACTAACACTGCATGTGAATGAACTGACTCTCAGGGGATCCATGACTTGCTCAGCGTCTTGTGGCCTGTTCTGGATAAAGCCAGGGCTGACAGCCGTCTCCAGTCCTAGCCCAGGGCTGCTTCCCTTCCACGGCTGCAGATCGCTGTGTCCGGCATCTGCACGTCTTACCCACAGAGGTCCGGTGACTTCCCGTGTTCAGTGACGTTCATGTCCACCTTGCCCAAACCCCGCCATGACCTTGCCCTCAAGGAGCTCCCCTTCTACTTTCGGAGGGAGGGCCAGGCCCACGTATCGCATCGTTGCCACGACAGCATCACGGACAGTTCTGTGCCCGACCGGCGTCAAGTCAGCAGCTGGTGGACTTGGGGGCCACGGCGGTGACGGCCTCTCCTTCTCCCCGCAGGTTCCACGCAGACACGGCATATCCCCGAGGACACCCCCAACGGTTTCCACCTGCAGAGCGTGTCCAAGCTGCTGCTGGTTATCAGCTGTGTGTAAGGGACTCCAGGCTCTCCCCCCGACCCCTGCCCCCAGCACCTCCCTGTCTCTCCCGCTGCCTCCTCCCCATCTTCCTCAGGCGTTTGAGCATTCTCACTGTTGCCCTGGTTTCTTTTTTTGGCTTAGTCCTCTAGTCTCTCTCCAGATCAGTTGCTCTGTCATTCCTTCCCTCTTTGCTTCTTTTTCTCTGTTTTATTCGCACTTCCTGTATGCTAGGGCTTCAGGATTCAGAAGACGCTGCGTGGAACAGCATCCGTGCCCTTCAGGAGTCAGTTTCACATGAGTCTGACAGAAAATTCACAACTGCTGCACCGTTGGGTACATGCTAACGTAGGGACGCTACAGAGCATTTTAGGAGCCCATTCATGTTTGTGACAGACATGCTGAGTGTCTGCTCTGTGCCGGGCATCAGGACCATGCACACACGGGGCCCACACGTTGGTAGGGAAGCCAGGCAAAATCAGTGACTAGAGTCCAGGAAACATGTATGCTTATTTTAATTTAAGCAATTTATATTAATTGCCATACTGCTGTAAAACTGTGGGCTCAGTAACTTTCACAGAGAGCTGCCGGGCTAGGGAGACAGTTTGTTACAAGAAATGAGGGTGTACGAGCGGGGGGACACCACTGTTGGAAATGTAAGCCGGAGCCTTCTCAGGGCTTCTGCGAACCGTTTCTGAGCAGGAGCCGCTAGGGCAGCTAAGTGCAGCCGGCTTCTCAGACTCTTGGTTCAGGGCACTGCCTGACACCCTGACCCTTCCTGGATGGGGTGTGCTGTGGCAACATGGGGGCACAGCTGGGTGGGGGCTCAGGAGCTGCCCAGACGCTGGCTCTGCCAGGTCGGTACCCAGCACTGGACTGTCTGTAGCTCCGTCTGGCTTCTGTGACTCCACCCCCATGCCTTCACGCCTTCACTAAAGCATTGTCAGAAAGGCGGAAGCCGGGGCACTGCTCTACCCACAGGAAACAGAGAAGGAAGCCCTGGGGTCACATGGTTGGATCTGCACTTTAAAAAAATCACTTTGGAGGCTGTGTGGTGCAGGGACTAGACAAGAAAGGACTGGAGGCAGGGAGGCCAGCAGGAGCGAGCTGCGGTGATCTCAGCAGGAGTGGCTGTCAGACTGAGGTGAGGGGCTGGGGCTGAGAGGTCCTGGAAAGCGAAGGCTCGTTACATGGGGTGATGTAGGGAAGGAAGATGACGTGCTGACCGGCGGGGCCATAAATGGCTGCGTCACTGACGGAAATCTGGACCTCAGTGAGAAGTTGTCAGAGAAGATGCTGCCAGGTCCGGATGTCTCTGAGTTGCCATAGGTTGTTCAAGTGAAGTGACAGACACTTGTTGGTGTGAACCTGGAGCTGAGGAGAGAGGTGTAGGCCGAAACTGCTGGTTGAATGGCCGGCAGCATCAAAGCCACGGTGGGAGTGAGGTCATCATCAGAGGAGAGTATGGAGCGTGCGAGAGAACGTGGGTTGAGGACAGACCTGGGGACCGCTTGGGAGAGGGGCCTGTGCGGGGCGCGAGGAGGGCTCCCGAGCTACCCTTACCTGAATATGCAGCGTAAACATACATGCAAAATTCTTCTGACTGTGGCATAAGAAGCCAAGATATTTTTACAAAATGAAATACAAAGACGACTATAAAACCAGTAAAATTCATGCATAGCAGCAGCATTTTAATGTGTTTCATTGTTAAAACCGAATCTCTGACGTTGGGTTTGGTGGACAGAAAGCTCTAATCTTGGGTTAGTTCTGCGCCTGAGCTCTCTCTGCGTTTTGACGTGAGAGGAGGCCTGGTCGCCTGAGTACACCATGTAGCGTGGCTTTAACTAACTTCGGGACTTTGTTAGTTTCGGGTAATCAGGCCTCTTCATTCAGCACGAGAGGCGGTGGGTCTGCTGCCATCACGCATGTGGAACCTTCTGGCACAGCACAGGTTGCCCTGTGTCTGAGAGGCACCAGCTGCCATGCTCCTGCCTTGTGATGACCCAGCCCTCCTGCCTCTTCTCTGTCTAGACCGCCCCTAAGTCTTCCCTGGGACCGCAGGCCGGGGTGTCCCTTGACTGTCACTGAGCACAGACAGGACTGTACACACAGGCCCAAATGCGGGGGCTGACACTGCAGCGCGCACTGAAGAGGTGTGCGTTCCAGTGGTCCAGGCATACCGGCACGATTGAAAGTGCTACCGCTGAAACTCAGTGCAAGGTTTAGAGGTTCTCATGGAGAACTCAGAGGGCCCCGGGGACACAGCTGAGTAGCCCCAGGCATTTGCAGCTGCCACTTTAAGAAATACTACTTTCTGTAGTGTGGGAAACGCAGGTGACAAGTACAGTGTCCCATGCACAATGCATACAACACACACCACACATACACCATACACACAACACACACCACACACTGCACTCACCACACACAACACACCACACACAACACACACCACACACTGCACACACCACACACAACACAACACACACTGCACACACCACACACGACACACACACCACACATGCCACATACTTTGAAAGGTCAAAGGCATAGTATAGATTTTCTTTCTTTGTTGGTCTTTTTTCATCTATTTGTTTTGTCTTTCTGTTTTTGTCATCTTCTTTCCGTGTGCGTCTGTGCCTCCTCCTTTAATGAGAAGACCTCCCCTCGTGGAGGTCCTCCTGTGTGCAGGTGCCTCAGTACATGCCTTTCTTCCACATAACCAGCCCCCCCACCCCCCACTGCCCCAGCAGGGTAGGACTTGTCCTGTTGAGGGAACTGGGTTTCAGGGAAACTGGATCAAAAGTTAAGAGAATTCTAAGTGATGAGCTAGCATTTGTGCCCAGTTCCGCACGTCTCTGCATCCTCTCTTTCCCTGAGCCTTCTCTTCAGCCCATGAACCTCTGCTATAAAATGATCTTTAGGCCACTGGAGCTGAGAGAAGAGGATCCCACAGCCCCTTGGTGACTCTCCATTGCCCCCGGGGTTCTCCTGCCACCTCCCTGTCTCCAACTGTTTCTGGCCCATCCCTGGGAAGCTTCAGCTGGTCCTTGTGACCCCTGCAGGGCTGGCTGGTGCCCGGAGGAGACGGCAGCTCTAGGGCAGTTGTGCTAACGTCTGGGCACACAGCTGGGAATCCCCTGCGGTTTGGGTTAGTAGGAGGAACCTTATCTCCATTTATCACCCTTGAAATGCTCAGAGTCCATTTCCCGTTCTTCCCCCTGCGCCTTCCTTGCTGGGTGTCCTCGCCCGTGGTGTCCCTGCTTCTGGCGTTTCCGTCTCACAGGCTCTCACTTTCTCTCTGGCTTGATTTAAGTGCAATTTCCCCTTCCCCACTCAGTCTCTGTCTAACCTGCCTCCTCCCCGTTTTTCTTCCTGGCTCCCATTAGGATCTGTTGCAGGTACTGGCTCTACGATGCTTCTTTCCCCTCCTCGTCTCTTTTCCTCTCCATCTGACTCCTCCTTCCCCGGCACCCAGCTCCTGGGTGGCCTCTGTGTCTCTCCTTTCTGATGCCTTCACCCCACACACCTCTCTCCATGGCTCTCCTGCCGTGTCCCGGCCCCCAGGTTAGACTGCTGCTCACCTCCCCACCCCCGCTATGTCTCTCCGGCTCACGTATTCACTCACTGCAGTGCTTCAGGTGGCCCAGAGGGCGAGGACAGCGGCCTCTGGGGTGGGGGACCTCTGTGACTCTGAGAAGGAGGCTGCTTTCTCAGACCCCGCCTCACCGCTCCCCCTCTCTCCCCGTCTCCTTCCTAGTCTGGTGCTGCTGGTCATCCTTAACGTGATGCTCTTCTACAAACTCTGGATGCTGGAATACACCACCCAGACTCTCACTGCCTGGCAGGGTCTGAGGCTCCAAGAAAGGTAATCCCGGCCTCTTCCCCTGGCTTCCACCTCCAGCCCGTCTGGTACCGTGTCCTGGCTTCTGCCTCCCAGCCTACTTGGGACTGGCCTGCGCCTTTGGCCGGGAATAACCCTTTGGGATGAGTCCATAGCAAGCTCTGGAAACGGCCCCTGTAGGTCTAGTCTGCTTCTGATTTGAGGCACAGAGGAGCCAGGATGGTGAGCAAAGGACGAAGCACTCTGGTGTGGCTCTCTGTCCTTTAGGGGTCTGGGCGCTCAGGACAGTCCACTGCTCCTAACTCCGGCTGCTGGGGTACCCCTCTTCTACCCCACAGGTTACCCCAGTCTCAGACAGAATGGGCCCGGCTCTTAGAGTCCCAGCAAAAGTACCACGACACTGAGCTCCAGAAATGGAGGGAGATCATCAAATCCTCGGTGATGCTTCTCGACCAGGTGAGACGCCCCCACCTCCCCTCCTCACCCGTCTTCCGGGGGTAGAACTTCCTGCCTGTTCTCCGAGAAGCAGCACCGTCTCCATCACCGTCCACCAGACCTCGCCCTCCCGTGTGTTCTTCTCCTAGGCCGTCCATTGTCCTAACTTTAAAGCCATCCTTGGGTGAGGTTTTGGAAGCAAAGGTGTATTCCCCAAAATTGTGTCAATGAAATTACACACCAGATTTGCAGCAGGAAAACTGTGGGTTAAATGAAAGGAGAGCTAATTCTCTCTTTTTTTTTTCTTGGTAACCCATGGCCATCTGACAGGCATTTAAAGAAGTAACCCCCTTTTTACAGAGATTTATCTTCCCAGCAGGCATGTCTTCCTAATTCCTTTTGATGTATGGCCCCCACCCTCCACCCCCTACCCCCTGCCCTCAAAACATGCACCCCACACACAGCCTCCAGGACGTTGTCCTCCCTGGAGGCTGTGCTGATAGTCTGGGAAGATGGTTGTAATGTCTTATTTTCATAACATTTTCTTTCTAGTACAGTTGCCTATGTTCCTTCTAAAAACTAGATGCATACATTTAAGAAAATCATCCTGGGACAAAATCAATAATTAGCTTCGTTTTATCAGCCTGAGGTGGAATCCTAACCTTGCCACCAACCAGTTTTATGCCCTCGAGCAAGGGACTTGATAGTAGTGACCTTCCATCTTTTCATTTATAGAATGGGAATTACAATCGTTGCTTCGTGAAACTGCTGTCAGGAGTTGGTGCACATGGGAGGCACTCATTAATGTTACATTTCATTTCCCCTTCAACGTTCAATCTCTTAGCTCTAAATTAAGGAGAGAATTTTATGCAGCTGTCAGGATCAACGGGTTTAAAGCGTCCTGTGTAGCATAGGAACCATGTTTGAGGAGGGCTTTTTTTTTTAAAACCAGAAGAGGGTAAACAACATAGCACGGAGTTTGGAAGTTCCATGCTGGCAGGAGGGGCTGATAGAATGGAAGATGTGCTCAGGAGAAGGGAAGACTGGGGTGGGTGAGCGGAACAGGAGAGTCTTCAGACGTGAAGGTCTAACACAGAAGGTTAGGTAGCTTTTGAAGTCCAGAGCGCTGCCCTGGGGCTAGAAGTCAGAGGGGATCGGATTTTTGAGCCATCGACTGAAGACAGACTGCTTCTGGTTAGAGCGTTCCCTCAATGGGATGGGCTGTTTTGAAGGACTGAGACTTCATCACTGAAGGTGCTGAAAGCGTGATGAGATGATGTTGGATGAGAATTAAACGAGGGGGGGCGTTTGGACTCCTTCAGCTGTAAAATTCTGTTTCAGGGTGGGTCTCCTTAAGGAGCTTGGGACTGTCAGATTTGTAGCCTGGTAGACATGACTCTACAAGCATTAAGATAGGTATTTTGTTCTATTCCCTTTAAAAGGGACCTTTAAAGGAATAGTAATGGGCCCGTATCCCTACTGAGCTGAGGATACAGAAGAACTAAAGAAAAGAAAGTGGTAGATTAGGCAGAGAGATCAGAGGTTCTCAAAATCTCAAAATACCATGACAGGGTAACTGGCCCGTGTTGTCCCTAAGCAGCTTACCTAGAGACAGGATGTAAATGTGTCGTCTTGTCACAGGCCGTTAGGATTCTACCGCTGGGCCTGCCTGATGTGGACGCCACCCCGTAATGTCGGATGTGTCTGTTTCTTAAAGAGGCTAAGGAGTTCAGTTAAGATTAAGTTCATTCAGTGATACGGGCACAGCTAAGAGCCTACTCAGTTCTCTGCTTGGCACCTGGGGTGTGTAAAGGACGGAGAAGACATGGTGCACCCCAAGCACACGTGAAACAAAGCCATTAAAGACGACCGCAGGGCAGGGCCCCAGGGAGTGGACTGTGGAAGGGACGGCGCGGAGAGAGAAAGGTGACCATGAGCCAGGGAAAGTCTGGATTTGCTCCTGGCCTTCACAGACGGGCGAGATCGGGTAGGCAAGACAGCAGAGTCCGAGCTGGGAGAACAGAGCGGCATGTGGACCAGGCTAGGAGTCCAGTGTATTCGGGAGCAGAGGGAACCGAATAAGGGCAGGATGCTGAGTAAGGGGCGGTCTAATGTGGGTCCTGGTAGCAATAGAATGCTTGGAGAGTTCTTAATTCAGCGAAACGAGGCCACAAATCCTCGAGACACAGCGAACTTATTACCCGAGGGGTTGCCAGTGCTGGATTGGCTGTCCCCCTTCTGCCTGAGGCTGTGTCCATTGAGAATCGCCCTTGTTTCAGGAGCCCGTTCCCTTTAGCTCCCAGGCCTGGTGGGGAGCCTGCGAGAGGCGGGCGTGGCAGGGGCTGCTGGATGGAGAAGCCCACTGAGGGCACAAACCCTGGCGGGGCCGGGCTTCCCTGTCTTCCAGATGAAGGACTCACTCATCAACCTGCAGAACGGCATCAGGTCCCGTGACTTCACGTCGGAAGGTGAAGAGAAGAGGAACCGCTATCACTGACAAGGCAGGAGCAGGGGCGGCCGCCGGAGGCCTGTGCAATATGTGTACATAGACCATATAAATATATATATAAATATATATATACAGAATATAAATATATATTATATACAGATTTTAAAAAGAGATAATGCCTATGTACCAGGGAGAAGGAGCGGGACCGCCTCTTGTGCTGGCTGGTGGAGGGGCCGAGGAGGGCAGGGACCACCTCTCAGCACCGACCTCCCCTGATCCTCCTCCCCCTCCCCTCCCCATCCTGTCGTCCCCGCCCTTTCCCTTGCTGGCCATTCTTGGCTCTGAGAAGGGGAATGTTGTTGAGCCAAAGTTATGCCTGTGAAGACCCTGGGGTCGTGCAAAGTCTCAAGGGGGCATTGCTTAAGGTGCTTCATTCCCTAATCCCCTTCTGATTTGTTTCCAAAATAAAAGATAATTTTTTTCTTCCCTGCCCCGCGCTTCCCCAGGCGTTCTCTCAGGAACAAGGAAGCATCAAGGGCAGGGGCCCCATCTAAACTCCAGCGTCTGAGGCCACCCGTTTACTCGGCCCCCACACCAGGAGCCAGGTGCAGAGGGAGGGGCAGCGGGGAGGCTGCGCCCGAGGGAGTGGGCTTTGTAGCCGCAGCGCCTGAGGGCTGGTGTTCCAGAGGGTGTCCTCCTCCATCGCCCTGCACCTTCCTCTCACCTGGGTGGGTGTGCACCCAATAAGGGCTGGGGATTTGTTACTTTCCCACCCCCCTCCTCTCTGGTCTTTTCCCAGGCTGGGTCTGGGTGAAATGTCACTTTTTAGTGCCTAAAGCCCTATTTTTGCTCTGTGCCCTAAGAGCACATTGTTTATTAGTCAGGGTGGAGCATTTTTGATCTTGTTAAATCTCTTTTAGTGATTATAAGCAAATCAGGTCTGTGGCTCTAACCCCTTTCCTTTGAGCTGTCATTTGATTTCCAGGATGAATCAGGGTGTTCTAGGACCTCCAGGGTTTCACAGAGTGAATGCGCTAGCCGTGGACGGATGGTAGGGTCTGACCACAGAACGCTGTGTGAGGAGTGAGCACTCTATCCAAGCATTCTTGGGCTGCCAGCATCATTTAGCCTCAGTGAGGAACCAACTTAGTCGAGGGAGACAACTGTCTGAGCTATTTTGCCCACGTTAAGAAGACCTCAGCCTTAGAGGGAGTGGATTTGGCAAAGGTATGTGCATTTGGGCAGGAAAAAGCCAGATCGAGTCTGCCCCATGGGGACCATTCCAAATCCGGTTTCCCAGAGCTGGGAGTGGAAGTTCTGGCAGAGAGAGCAAAGCCTTCTCTGATCTCTGGCCCCAGAGACGTATGAAGTCATGGAGGAGTAGAGAGAAGACCATGGGTTAGGAGAGGGAGTCATCTAGAGCCTTTTCGGGGTTGGCTCACTGAACCCATAATTTGTCTGACCTGATGGGGCCCTTCTGAGCATGCTTCTGGGTACCCTTCACACACTACGATTTCTCCATGTAATGACCTGAGCAGTCCCGCCAGCCCCAGGCAGAGCGTGCAGCAGATTCTTGATCTGGAAAAGATCCTACCAATTTGGCAAGGAGAGCGCTTCCAGAGTGCTTGTCCTGGTGGGCCTCTTGGTGCAAGGGGCGGAGGAAAGGAAGATTTTATCACTCACCTAGCCTGAAGAAGAGCACATAGTGTTCTCCCGGACAGGCTGGGGCGCCCCCCTCTGGCAGTTAAGGAAAGGTTTTAGCTTTTCAGTCTATCTGAGAAGATGGCCTTGTTACTGCCCTTTGGGCAGGGTGAGAAGACGAAAGATACGGGCCCAGGTCATCCCCCAAGGGGAGCTGGATGAGAAGGTTCCATGGGCATCACCTAGAAATGATATCCCTCCCTTTGAAAAGGAGGTATGAGGGAACGGAGCTGAGTGTAATCCTGGTGAAGGGCACTTATCTCCATCATTCCTGTCCTGGAGGCTGAATGGGAGACCCTGGGGAGGCTCAAGGCTCATGGGCCTGAGCCAAAGGAAGAGGAATAGTGCAGGCTGCTAAGAATTTACCCATTGGAGTACCCAGAAATCAAAATTATTCTCAGAAACTATTGAAAGGAAAAATGGTAAATTCTGTAATTTACTCCATACGTATTATTTATTTATTTAAATTATTCAGGTATTAAAGGTCCCACAGTCGGACCTTTGGGATGACTTAAAAAGGGCTCTTTGCTGGGAGTAAAGTGGTTTAAGTGGGCCTTGCCTCAGGGAGCTGCTCTGCTCTGGCTTCACCTCCCTCTCAGGCCCGTTCGAGGGAGGAGTGGGTGACGGGAAGGATGTCCAAGGAAGCCCCTTGAGATCTGGGGGTTTGAACCCAGGAGACATTGTGTACACACGGGGAGCATCCCACCTCATTTCTAAGAACCATGGATCTTTTGTGGGCGCCTTCTATTCTAATAACTTTCTGACTTTCAAACCAGGGGAAAACCAGTAACTCTATTCACTCCCCCCCCCAAAAAAGCTTTTCCCCCTTATTTAATAACCTGTGAAAGAGGAGGGACCTCCCCCTTGTGGATCAGTTTGGGAGTGAAACACGTAAATAACATTGTTACTCATGGCAGCCTGGCTTGTAACTATCTGCAAGGGAGCATTAAAACCATCATTTCTTACATTATTTCTCCCAGCCAGGGCTTTTTTGGTTTTGTTCATGTAAGAATTCAGTCATGTAAGAGTCTTTCTGCGAGGATTCGTGTGGTAAGACATTTGAGAGCTTGCACTCAGTTTCAAAGCTTCTGCAGTTTCTAGACAGGTACAGGACAGCTACAGGTCTACACTTCACTCCAGCTGACTGTGGAGGAATCAACAGGGCTGTCCTGCGAGAAGCCAGTCGTGACTGTAACACCCTCCTTTCCCCCATCCACCTCCCTGGGGCAAGGGGATGCATTCTGAGACAGCAAGAGCAGCAACTTGAAGCCCCCGTAAGGGCGCTGGGCTGAGAGCCGGGAGACCTGGGCCTGAGTCCTGCCCCTGCTGTTGGACAAGTCACTCCCCGTCTCTGAGCTTCAGGGTTTTATTTGCAACAGGAAGCTCTTGAGCTAGACTGTCTCCAAGGTGGGGTCTAGCTTTGGCATTGTCCTGGAGGCTAGGTCAGAGACTGGCAAGGCTGGGCTTTCTCAAACTTGGCAGGTGCCTGCCAGGAGAGGGTGAGCCTTCTGGACTAGCGTTTCCCTGGCATTAAATGAGGGGTAGGGCAGCGTCTGGGTTCCCAGGAAATCCAGGGTATTTAAACTTTACTCTTTATGGACTAGGAGGGGTAGGGAGGTCCAGTGAAGGGGGTGGGGAGGGAGAGGCAGAAACAGAGATCAAACTTGCTGTATTGCTCGGCATCAGTGCAGGAGGCTATTCCTTCCTTTGTTGGCCTAGTCTTAGTTTGGGAAGGGTCCTTCCTTTGGGCCTTCTCCAGGCTCGGAAGAAGAGGATGGTGGCAAGAAGGACACCATCTTGCGTTGAGCTCGTCTTCCGTCCTTAAGCTGTGAAGCCTTTCATCTCTCCATCCTTCCTCCTCCTCGCCAGGGCAAAGGGCAGAGAGGAGCCATTCCTGGCTCTAGCACTTCTCTTTGGGCTCCAGCCTTGTTGGGGTTTGAATTAAGTGTGAAGCTTTGGCTACAATCCTTGGGTTGCCTCAGAGCGTTGACACTAAGAACCTGGGATTACAAGGAAGGGGGAGGACCAAAAAAACCTCAAGAGCAATGCTTTGATAGAGCTGGATTCTCTCCATGACCGTGTCTCTGACCCAAGTTTGGACCGTGTCCGATACATTTGCAGGCAGCGTCTCTCGGGTGACATCTTGGAGGAAGGATTAGGGGAAGAGTCTTCCTGGACTGTCTGTGGTCTCAGAAGGGTCCTTTCCGCGACGTATCCTGCTGCACATTTAGCTCCACAGGGCAGCCCAGGGCAACCCTTCCTCCCTAGGGGCTCCCAGGAGAGATAGCACTCTTTTCTTCCCCCGGGTGGTAGGGCTGTGGTCTCCTTCCCCGCACCCGCTGACTCCACCTGCCCTCTTCGGCAGGAAACGTGAGAACCTCTCTTCCTGACTGTCTTCTCTCAACCTTTGTCTCTAGGCTGTGGGACAATCATCCATCCATCACTGGACATCCTTGACCCTCATCCCCCAGCCTCCAGCAGGCTGGCCCCACTCCCCTCCACCTTTATGTTTTCTTCCAGAAGATGCATTTTTGGGTCCGAGAGGAGCGTTTTTCTGGAAGGCCATCTTTTAATGCCCCTGCTTTCCTGTTGTGGAGCAGAAATTTGCACACGGTGTAGAGAGCTTCCCTCCCCGCCTCTCTGCCCAGCCTTGTTACCTCACTCCTGCTCCGGCCGTGGCTGTGACGGGCCCAGCCAGCTCCCTGCTTTGGTGTTCTGCGCGAAGCTCAGGGGTCTTGGGCATTGTTTTCTGTTGTGACTTGAGGTCCTCAGCAGGCCTGGGAGCCCAGATTGGAGCCTTGGCTGCTGGCGAGAAGCACCTTGCCTGCCAAGAGGAACTGATGCCAGACAATGTACCTGGCATCTGAAGGCGTGAAGAACTGTCATCTCTGCCCTCCTTGCTTCTCTCAACACGATGAGATACTGCAGAAGCAAAATGGTGGCCTCTGCTCCAGGCAAGACAGCTGGCTCTGCCTGGGGAGTTGGCCCTGGGCTCGGGTGCCACGCCCTGAGATTGCATAGTAAGAGCAACCATTTTTGCCAACAGTAGTGCGTGGCTCCCCACATTTCTCTCTCCTGCACTGTAGGGCCAGACCACTCTCTGCATGGACCAGACCTTCTTCCCAAACCCATGGTGCTTTCCCCCCAATTCAACCTAGACTCCAAAGTGGGGAGGGATGGGTCAGAGGCCATCACGGCTCCTGGATAATCCTGACATGGGGTGGAGTGGGGTGAGGCAGAGGGAGCAGCCCCCAACACTGCACTGGGCCATATATGGGGAAGAACACAGGTTGATTGCAGTAGAGTTGTCTGGCCATCTGTGTTTGAATCTATAACTGTACTTTGCCTGGCGCTGTGCGCAAGGTCTGAAAACTTACTGCTAGTACCTAGAAACATACAAGGCTTCCCGGTCAAATCTTCATGTAAAGTAGCTAGAGCCATGGAAATACAGTATGAATTAAAAGAAAAAAGTATTGAACTACAAATAATAAATGGTGTGTGTGTTCATTGCTTGATTCATTATTGCTCACCGTCTCAGGTGTTTTCGGTCTTCCCGGAGGTGATCACGGCAAGTCCTAAAGGCACGTGTGTGCAGGCGCGCTTACACACACGTGTGCGCAGCCTGCCACTCTGCCTCCGGGACCTGACCAAGTAGACTGGATAAGAACTTTGGGAGTCAGATCTGAGTCCAAACTGCAGCATCGCCATTTACCAACTGTGTTCTTGGACCCCAACCATTACTCCAAGCCTCAGTTTACTTTAGAGATAATATAAAATACATATGTGTATACGTGTGTGTTTCTTGGTATAGTGTCTGGTACTGTACTGAGATCATTTTTAATGTTGTTATTAATCAATACTGTTACTGTAGGAACTTACGGTAGACTGTGAATCCCCGTGACAGTTTCTTGTGTAACCCTTCCCTTCTGGGGCCTTGGCACTTCTAGGAAGATGGACGTTGAGGGGCAGCTTTGCTGTGCTTTCTTGTTTCAGCCAACCTGGTAAGGGGGCTCAGCCCCTCCCTTCACTGGGTCTTCCTTGCTGGGAGCCCGCAGCCACCTGGTGGGAAGCTTGCATGATGTCATTCAGGTGAGAACCAGGGACTCTTTGGGTAGAGAAGGAAGGGAGACAATATGTTTAATTCTAGGTGATTAAATGTATTTTTCACTCTCTGGGTATATATCCAGTTCAGGAACTGATGCTGGCTGGGGAGGTAAGTCGGAGCCACAGTATGCATAGCAGACGCGCCCAGAGAGCAAAACCAGAGCAAGCGGTATCTGGAGACGCTTTATTGACATGAACGGGGAATTTACTGGAAAACACCACGTACAGGCATTAGGTTGTTGAGAGCTTGGCTGGTCAGGAACAACATTTCTAGAGTTGAGAGAAAGATTGGCTGTGGAAAATCAAGAAAAAGCCGTATGAAGGTGACAGCGTGGTAACGAGTCCCGCTGGTTCCATGGCTGTCCGAGTTTGCTGACTGTGTTTCACGGTGTCTCACAAACCCGCAGGCACTCGTCCTTCAGCGGCCCCCTCCCCGCCACACGCACTGCCCATCAGGTGCATCCCTTGCCCAGTGGTGACCTGGTGGAGGGAGGCGGGGAGGAGAGTGGTGCCAGCTTTGAGGCTGAGCTGGCCTGTGATCGGGGTTGAACCGTAACTCAAGACTTGCTTAAAGTGCTTGTCTGCTGGGCCCTACTGTAGACGTGGTAAGGGGAGGGGAGCTGAACATGAGTTACCTACCATGGTAGAGTGCTGGAGATTAGGAAAGGCGTGGGTGATGACATTTTCCAAATCTAAGACAACAGGGCACACTCAGGGGCTAGATGGGTGCTTGATGCAGAGTGGGGGCTGAAATGTAGAATGAACGGGTGATGGGAGTAATGACACATCGAGAGCTATTCAAATACATTTGCAATGACCAGGAGAATTCACTGGATTAGGGATTTTTCATTCACAAAAAGGAGGGGAGAAGAAGGTGCTTTTTTGCTTTATTTTTTCACTTCTATTTAACTTGGGAAAGGGGAACCAAGAAATACTGTGAAATGTGTCTAGCTCCTTACCACTTCTTCCCATCAAGACGCAGTCACACAGCCCTGTCCCTCTGATTTACGTCAGGTAGGGTTGCAGGTTCTGAGATGGGTCTGTTTTCCTTTTTAATCTGGTAGTTTGGGGGGAAGGGAGGGGGTACTGTCTCTTCCCTTAATCATTCATCGCTCAACACCTGTTTCCAGCTTATTCCTGCTTTGAAAAATTCCTTTCCTACTAAGATTTCTAGTTGGCATCTAAGGAGAAACCAGAGACCCAGAGAATCAGAAATCTGGGTGTGTGGATATTTGGGGATGGTGACGCTAAAGGATAATGCTTTTAAACAAACTGAAAATAAAGGCTGGTGTAGGGAGAGGCACTGACTATCAAGGTGTTTCCACACAGGAGTTGGGGCCATGACACAAGGCTGAGCTGATGGTAAAGGTCGGTAGGCAAGGTGCTCACAGGGCCGACTGAGTGGAGCAATGACGTTCATGGCTGTTAAGCCAGAGGAAAGGGAAAACCACACCCAGCCTAGCTGGGCCTTTAGTGAACTGTGTTATTAAAGATCAGTCGTGGGAAATAGCCAGCACCAAGGTGACAGATGGGGTTCCTAAAGTGGTAATAGCCCTTGAGAACATTTCTAAGCCCTTTAATAAGAACAGCATGCCAGATACAGCTTCCAGAGCAGGGCACATTGATCTGGGTCCTGTAGGAACATGAGAAACGGAGTGGGTGAGGATCTGAAGTAGGCTGGTGATCACAGTATCTTGTAGAATTAGGGTCACGATCAAGTCTCCCAGGAAGGAGTGTAATTGCAAATCAGGAGAAATAATGATGTACAGACCAACTGGAAATGAAAAACCAAAATAAGATAGACTCTCAAAGCTCATTACTAGCTTGGGCCAAGAAGCAGAGTGGTAGAGGAGCCATTGAGCAGGATTAGGGTGAGAGAAGATGGTGAACATCTCAGGACAAGCAAGACAGGCAAAGATTAGATGGAAGCAAAAAAAAAAAAAGGAGGGGTGGAAAGGAGGCAGCTATGGTCTCAGTGCAAAGAGAGCTGGGCTAGGGGGTCAGAAGACCTGGGTTCCAGCTCTCCACTTACCACCTGTATGAACTTAGGGTTTGGTAAATTTCTTAGCCTCAGACACCCTCCATTTCTTCATTTGTTAATGTATTAGCAATATCCACCTCCCAGAGCTAGTTGTGGAGAAGAAATAAGATATCTGAGATAAAAATGCTTTATAAGCCGTACAGCTTAATAATGAAAGTATTAAAGATGAGAAGAGTTGAAAAGTTAAAAGGAAAAGGCTAGAGAAGATTACTCGTAAAGGATAAAGAAGGAAAAAAACGAGAGGTACCATTCAGCTTCATTAAAAATCACTCAGGAAATATCTGAGTCGGGCTTTCAAAAAGGGAAAAAGGCCAACATGCATGCTAGATCACAAGTTAGACGCATGGTCTACTGAGGCAAGAGGGCAGTGGAGTGGTGGGAAGTACCCTCTACGGCGAGCCCTGCTGTCCACCAGCCGTGTGACGGGGAAAACCTCGCGCGAATTCAGGCCTGTTTCCCTCATTTGTATGAAGTAAGAAAAATCTATATTCTGTCCCCTAGTTCAGAGGGATTATGTGGGAAATTACCAGTGGGAAGGGCCTTGAATTTATTGAAAAAAAGTACTTTCTTCAATAAAGTCAGACTCTTGAATATGTGAACGAGGGCTTGTTTCAAGTACTTCCCCAGGGATGGCAGAGATGAAAAACTGAGTATGCCAGGTGAGGCGCAAAGCCACGGGAGTGTGATCTCTCCCTGTAAATTCCCCCAGATCAGAGGGACATCTTGTTCATCGAATCCCAGTCACTTCCGTCTTCTCATATCCCCTAGGGCCGCCTCCTCCTCTCTCATCATTAGATGCTGAAGGACATTGCACTTGGACCCGTTACTCAAAGTGAAATATGAGATATTTTTTCTGGTGTTCATCTGCTCTCCTAACATCTAGAAAAAAAAAACAACACCTGGACATTATGGATTCACAGGCGAAATATTTGGAAGCCCCCTCACCTGTCTGTCCCCTATCTCTTCACTCATTTGCTCATCATCCACCTCGGACTGAAAACATGTTTCTTAGTTAAATCCGATTCCCAGATGTATTCTCCTTCGAGGATGTTTCAGACTCACAAATCTTTTCACTCTAATCTATCTCACATCCTTCTCTCTGCCTTTGGGGCCAGTCTCTAGTTCAGAGTCAGAGTTAACCTCAGCCGGGAGACCCACCCAGTTCTGTGCTTGTGAAGGGGGCAGGGCCATAGCCAAGCTCAATTTCAGAGTCTTTTTCAGAAGGAAAATTATCCCATCCCGGGACGTGTAAACTGGGCAGCACCTAAGGCTCATCTTGCTCCAGCCTGTCCTTCGTAGCCTCTTACCAGTTGAGCCGTCTGAGTCTCAGTTGCCTCTTGTGAAATAAGTAGTAACACTGATCCACAGAACTTTTGAGAGGAATAACTTAGGAATTTCCGTTCCAACGCCCACAGGACAGTAAGGCCCCCCAGGCATCTCAGGTGGTGTGCTCGCCGGGGAAGGCACACATGCGTTCCCCTGGTGGCATCATGAACATGTTGTATGACTTCCCAAGTCTCCTGCCCTTGGCGTCTTGGAGGACTGAGACTTACCCAGGCCTTTGAGACCTCTTGGGATCTAGCCCTGGAGTACCAATTTCCAGGGAACATTTTGGTCCATGCTTAACGAACTTTCTATCCCTGGAGGGCCTGGAAAGCCATACTTTGGTGCTCCAGCCAAGTGGGCAGGAACTCGGAAAAACTGACTTCAGTGAATCTCGTTTCATGACAATTTTTTGCTTTAACCCAAGCGAATCTCTCCTGCTTCCTTCCATTAAGACATCCATTCGCGTGCAGCAATGGAGAATGAGCCAGCTCCAGCCAGTAAGGGGCAAGTGAGTGTGCCGCGTCCAGCCCTTGTTCTAAGTCAGGTGCAACACAAGGGAGGAGTCCGGTTGGTAGGGATCTGCTTGCTTGAAAGCTAGGTTGAGTCCATGTAGACATGTTGGTTCCTCAGTTTCGGCAGAATCTTACGGTGTGTAGAGGTCTGACGGAGTTAGCAAGTCAGAGGTGAAAGTTCAGAGGTGAGTGGAGGCATGATGAATGAACTGAGAGATGGATGCATGAAGGGGAGCCATGTGGCTCCTGGGGCGCCCTCCTGATGCAGCTGACATCACTGAACCTGGAACAGCCAGTCCTGCAGGGTTCGGGCCACCTACCAATAAGAAAACAGCTCACTGCGAATTTCCAGTCCAGTCCAGCCCAGGCAAAGACTCTTTGACCTAATCCATGATCCCTACAAAGGAGGGAGTCGGTGGGTTACTTTTTGTCACTATGGATGAAGAGTTCAAGTTGCCCCAACACTCAGGCCAAAACCACTCACCTTCTGAAGGGCTTTATCTCATACAGAGCTTTATGACTTGGGCATCAACTTAAAGTTAAGTCCCCTGAGGGTGAGGACTTGGGGTAGGGTAGAAATCTAATATAAGGGACCAAATTTAAAGTCACCGGTTTGTGGGTGACGAGGTCACCTGAACATCCTGCCATCCTTATCTGCCTGCCCTCCCTTCCCTGTACATCACCTCTAGTGCCCCCTTCTCTTCTATTCCTCCACTGGTACCGCAGAGTTCTCTTTGTTCTCCGATGGGATGGCAAGGTAGTCAGATCTGTTGGAGGAAAGACGGGGAAGAAAATCAGTGCCTTGGTACGCGGTGGTGGGAACACAGGAAAACGGAAGGAGCCAGGGCACAGGAGCAAGGATGTCTATGGAGCAGCGTTGCATTTCCTTCTGGCTGTGTTCCCCGAGAGAATACAAGAATGGCCCTTCCAGCAGACTAGAACAATAGTTTTGTTTTTTCCTCCCACCAGCACCGTATGAGTCTTCACATTTAATCCACATTGTTCTCAGGACTTAGTATTGTCAGGTTAAACTGGCCATACTGATGGGTGTGAAGTTATATTTTGTAATTGCTTTAATTTTCATCTCCCTGATTACTGGTGAAGCTGAGCATCTTTTCATAAGTTTATAGACAGTTGGGGTCCCGACTGCTATAATTTGACAGTTCGTTTGCTTTGCCAAGTTTTCCTTGTGAAATACTTGACTTCTTCTCATTGATTTTTCTTTGA